GTGGTGGCTCCGTGTAACTACTTCGTGAATCAACCTTCCTTGATTTCGTCAAACGGACTGCACACAAACGGCTATTCACGGGAATCCAATCAACCAACGATGACTCGGCCTTGGAGTTGAGAACAATGCCCACTGCAGTTTGACCAGCGATTGTCGCATCAGCATCTCCGGATGGGTGCAACTAATAGCGAGAGGGTATGCCGGGCGTCGTTAATTCAACAATCCGTGAGGGTTATTGATACTAGTTTCAGACACACAACATATGTCAATACCCAGTGTGTTCGACGTGCATGCGAGTGTAGCCTGTTGGCTTATTGGTCTTAGAGTGCGAGCGTTGAACGCCGCCAAGGAAACGGGACGACATGACCATATAAGGAGCTGTTGGCGATTAATGTCCAATGGGTGGTGCGGCAAGATAGCTGCAGATGGTAGAACGGCAGCTGCGTTGCGGTTGCTCTTAACTAAACTGGGAATTATAGAAGGAAGATTAGTAATGGGGGCTGGGAGCGGAGTAGGAGAAACACATGGAAAGGAAAGGAGGGAGGCGCCGGCAGCTAGATATTTTCGCTTATCCGCATTGATGTATGCAGCAGATCAGGTGACGCGTAACAAGATGTTCGACGACCGACGCAGGATATAGATGCAGTGCGAAGTAGTCACGGTTGTACGTGGGCTGAGATATTGTCAGGTCGCCCAGATCTCCACAGGAGAACCATTAGGGTCCTTAACCAAAGGCTTTGGCTTAAAAACCTGTCCACAAGGCAGTTGGTGTGGTAACGATTGGGTTTTACAGAAATGGACCCCATCACATTTTAAACCCCCAACCCGAACGACCAGGAGAATGAGTTTGTCAGAGCTCTAATCATTGACAAACCTAGTGGGAGTAGCTCTTAAGGGACCCAAGGGCCCCACCTGGTATAGCTCATTGGGTCGACGAGGTACGCAAACTGTCACACCACGTTAAGGTCTAGTTCCGTTGCGACTAAAATAATACCCGAACTAACGGCAGTGCAGAGTAAGGTGTTGAGCTCGTGGTTAGAAGTGTTATTGTCAGCTTCAGTGCTGCAGTTGGTGGAGCAATAGGCAGTAATAACAAATAGATAGTGTCAGGTGCAACTTCGTGCGCTAACCTTGATTGATGTTGTCAAACGAGCTGCACACAGATGCATGCTCACAGGAATCCAATAACTCAACGATGCCCGAACGTTGGAGATGAGAGTGACGCCCACTCCCGTTTAGAAGTGGTTGCTGCATTATCGTCCCCGGATGCGTACGGTCAATAGAAAAAGGACAAGCCAGACGCGGTTAGTTCAAAAAGCGCGTGAGGGCCATTGATTTTAGTTTCACATTCGTCCCACCCATCGACACTCAATGTGTCCCATGTGTGTGCAAGTGTAGTCGTCTCACCTCCGGCTTAGGGCGCAAACGCTGAAAGCTACCAGAGATAGGACAGCGTGGCCTGTTTATGAAATGAGTCTAAAACGTGCTGTTTTAATATATTTGAAGATCACAAAACTCCAATGGTGCTGTGAATTTCACTCATTAGACTGGAGGGAATAAGAGAAACAGGTGGAAAAGAAAGGGGACAGACAGCAACAGTGGCGCTTTCCGCCCTGGTGCAAGAAGCAGATGAGGTGACTTATTGAAACTGTGCGACCGCTGATGTGGGATGCGGATGGATGTTGATGATAAATTCATTTTATCATGGTTGTACATGGGCTGTGATACCGCCATGATGCCCAAACCAGGACAAGAGAACAACTATTGTCCTCAACCAGAGCCTTCGACTCAAATTCTGACCACATGGCAGCGGGGAAATGACAAAGAGCCGGTTTTACAGAAATGGACGGCATCCCATTTTCAACCTTAACCAGAACGTCCAGGAGACTGAGTTCACCTAACCTCTAACTACTGAGCAATCTAGTAGGAATAGCACACAAGGGGTAAGGAGGTATCACTTACTACAGCTTAAGGGGTTGAAGAGGTACACAAACCATAGCAACAGGTTAAGATCCAGTCTCGTCGCGACAGGATGGGGATGGCGGCATGTCTTCATAATTCTAGACATTAGGTGATCAATAAAGAGTACACAGGGATGATATAGGTTGAAATAGCTCAAAACTGGCGGCGTTGCGGGAGTGAATACACCTCGGGTGTCAGGACCGTAAGTACAGAGACACTTGTACAACTGAAGGCACTCACCAAGATATATGCATGGTAGGTTATTCTCTTTGGCGATCTCTTGAGCGCGTAAATGCTTCTTAACTGTGATCGGATAGTAGCTGCCAGCCTTGACTGTGGGATCATTTACTACAAGCATGCACTCAACGCTGTGAACATAAAGGAACAGTAGACAAGGAAGGGAAAACGTACCCGTTCACGCGACCGATGCCAGTGAGAATACCACCTGCAGGAACTACTTCCGACGGTCCATAAAGTTGATATCCAGCAAACTGCGACAACTCGAGAAATGGAGTACTGTGGCAGACAGATGAACATGATCCGACAGGAGTTACGTTACTTCGGATCTAAAAGTTTGTCTATACGATCTCTTGGCAGAAATTTCCCGCGACTAACGTGAAGGTCCCGCATTTTCTCTGAACCACCTTAACGAGAGAAAAGATGAGGTGATAAAGACAAACCTCACCTATGAACGGTGATCACTTGCAGGATAAAAAATCGAGTGATCATTCAGAAACATCACAGTGAAGTGCATTTGCGCGGGAATTAGGTATCTTGTAGAAATAAATGGAATCGCTTGAAGGTAAAGTTGTATGATGATGTACTTCAATGTACTGTCGCACCTGGAAGTCCAGTACAGGAGTAAACAAGCTAGCCTGATGGAACACCTCGAAGTACACTTCTGCTAGAAGCGTGAGTTTTCTCGAACGCAAATCAGCGGAGCAAGAGAATTGCGTTCACTCAACCAGCTGCGCAGAAAACCCGAACGAGCTGAGCCCAAGGTCAACCCGGCTTACAACTAACGCACCGGAAGAATATCGATCAACAGACCAGCGTTGCCTTGAGAGCAGGCAGACCCAACAAGGTGAATTCTTTCACCCGCGTTGGTTCATGTTTTGTTCCCATAGTAAACTCCGATATTTCGTGTACTCGCCCCGCTCGTTCTTCATTGTTGAGGATTGGCTGACGCTCTACTCTAGCAGTGCCCGACACAACAGTTTCTGAAATCATCTGCCTGGTTGACTTACAATACTGCTTCTGTTAAGTACACTAGATAGGCGATCAACAGAACTTACGTACCAAGTTTACTTCTAGCTCTATGGAGTAACGACGCTACGTCGATTGGGGAAATGGTAAAAAAACAGCAGTTACATATTATACCTTCGTGGTGGTAAATGACCGTATGTGAGATGGGACACAGCCATGGTAGCTAAATTCGGGCGGAACATCTACCTACTATACTGAGGTTGTTGGGTACAAAAATGTGGTAACCTGATATCCAGGAAGTCACGAAGAAAAAAAAGTGTCAGGCTATAGCGATTTGATTAGATCTGTGAAGTGCGTCCTAAATGCGCTGAGTCAACAACCTTCGCGTTGTCGCTTTCCACTATGTTCTTAATCCCGATCTCAAGCCAAGCACATGTAAGTGTTTTGACGTTCAGAAAACAAGAATCCGATTCAGTATGATTTTGGATGGACGCATACAGTGACCACGATTCGCTCCACAATGGGGTAATAAGATCAGTGTTTCATAACATTCGCCTTGATCGGTACGCCGACAGAAAGAGCGCTGAATTGCGATCGAAATGTTGAAATTGTAAAACGGTATGTTAGTTAGAATTTGTATAATGTCGTGGTGTGTTCTGCCATGAATGCAGTCGATCAGCGCTACGTTTTGTCCGCCACTACTCCGTGACCTACTTGCTATTAGTCAAATGCTGTCCAGCCACTGTTGCCATGCAGACAAAACGCAAATCCCAGCGACCCGAAGTGAACGTAACGCAAGCTTAAGCCAATCCTCTGTCGACAACGATTGTTAGTCTGTACCAGTGAACGACATACTGATGCAATCCAGTTGACGATGATGATTAGGAGGAACACCTGCTAACGAACTGATCAGTGAACTCAAAAAGGATCTAAGTTCCACCTTTTTCCAGAAATTGAGCAAGATAATCGTATTGGTTAATCAAAAGAATGCTCTCACAAAATCTAATACAATTATTGGCAAGTAAAGAAGAGAAGCGAACAGAGAACGTTCAGAAAAGTCGCCACAAACATATAAATATCTGTACTCTGCGCTGAGTAATGATCTCGTGTCTAGTGGCCAGTACACTGGATCTACGACCTTGCCTTCTGATCGACCAGTTGGAGGCGAGCAGGTTTCCGTGAACAGCCAATTGGAATAGCCAGGGTGACCTTGGTGACTATAACAATTGGCGAAGGGGTTGGGATTTTGATTGGAGAACACGAAAAATGACGTTCTCAGTGGAGCATCTTACCGCAATACTTCAACATCAACAGAAGCAATTTGAAGAAAGCCAGATACGATTAGTGGATAACCTCTTACAGCCTTTTGCGATTCAAGCAAGAGCAGACAATGAAAAGCAGCAATCAGCGGATGCGGTCGTTAACTGCATTTGTGAGCTTCAGTATGATCCGGATGCCGGTCTAACCTTCGAATCTTGATTCAGAAGATACGAAGACGTTTCTCGGTCCGAATTCGCTGATGTTGACGACGGATGGAAGTGCAGACGGCTTTTGCGGAAGCTGAGAACCAAGGGGCACGAGAAATTTCCCAATTTTGTCTTGCCAATAGGTCCCAAAGCGTTTACCTTAGACCAACTTATACCTCTGTTAAATGACATTTTTGGTGAACGGTCTTCCTTATTTAGCATCAGATACAGCTGAATGAAACTCGTTAAGCGGGCGTCAGACAATTACGTACCCGTGAACCGTCAATCGTCACTACCAGCGTTTTAGGCTAGAAAACGACACGATCAGTTCGAAGCCTTCATTTTCATTTGTGGTCTCCAAGCACCCGAGGATGTCAAAATACGCATGAGGCTGCTAAACAGAATTGAGCAGGACCCGTTCAACAAACACATGTCTATCACTACTGAATACGAGGTTAATCAACTTGAAGCACGACATGAACATGATTGCCCAAGGTCACAGTCTATTTCCCGTGGATGTGTTGGCGATATCAAACCAGCGCGAGAGTCCAACGACGGTCCAAAACTTAGTGAAGTAAAAAGTCCACCACCCGCATGCTGGCAATGTGGGGATGGCACTTCGTCAAATGCTGCCTGTTCAAAAAGCACCTTTGTTAGAAATGCAACAAAAGAGGGCCACAAGGAGGATAATTGCTGTACAACTGTTTTCAACAAGAACGTCTACACTAAACTTTCCAAAAGCAAACAAGGATCTCAACTTTACCCTGTTTTTGCTACCCTCGATACAGGGGCTGCAAAAAGCAGAAGGTCCGTGACAGTGATTGTGAACCAGGTGCCCGTGCGTCTCCAAGTTGACACTGTCTCAGATATCACGGTCATATCCGAGAAAACTTGGAAAATAATCGGTGAGCCACCTGTTCAAAGAACAACTCGGCTTGCAACCAATGCTTCAGAAGGACCACTGAATTTGTCCAGTGAAATTTAGTGTCCTGTAATAGTCAAAGATTGTCAGTTCGAAGGGATTTGCTAAGATACAAGACATTTTGACCTAAACGTACTCGGTCTCGACTGGATTGACAATATGAAACTGTTTGATGTTCCCTTGAATTTCCGTGTGCAAAAAATAAGGGACACATCTGCAAAGTGGACGGAGTCTTTACATATGAAATATCCGCAGGATGTTCTGGGATTGTGCACGAAAAGCAAGGCCAGTTTATCACTACGGCCAGACGCAAAGCAAGTCTTCCGACAGGAGAGACCGGTTCCATATGCAGCGGTTTCAATCCTCGACAAAGAACTTTAGAGTTTAGTCAGCCGGAGTTATCAAACCGACCAAGTACTCTTCACGAGTGGCTCTCAATGCGATTGTCAAGGAACCAAACGGAAAGTTTGGTTCCCGGTGTTTGCAAGATTCTGGTGTCCATCATACTTCGCAGGATATCCCCAAAGCGTGAATCAATACAGCGAGATGTGAAATAATACCCCGAGAAAACAGTAGAAGTAGGATGTAGCGAGCAAGCTTGTTTTTAGTGGATCATTAGAAGGCTAGTAAAACCATAACTATGTAGGTCGAAAATGTACTCGTGAATTACAGGCGTCAATAAATCGAAAGATCTCCTCAATAGGGCTATGTAATTAGCCCGACCTGTATGGAGTCGGGAAGAATGGCGAGAAGAACAGGCTGGGTTCCGCCCTGGTCGTGGCTGCATCGATCAGATTTCCACACGCCGCCAGCTTCTCGAGCTCCACCATGTGTATCAAAAACCAACGATTGTTGTGTTGGCTATAGCAGTGAAAACACACAACACAACGC